TGGTCTCGAGGAAGTTCTCGAAGTGTTGGCTGTCCTTCTCGGGGATGAAGGGGCGAAGACCTGGATCAGGAAAGAAAACACAAGGAGGAAACCATTAGCATCGTCGTGTGGTTTGTACGGCACGGGCACGTAGGGGAAGACACCCGGGACAGATTTCCACATGGATTTGTTCAGCTATCTGAAATTCCCTGGGACTTCTGAGCCTTCCAGCAGAGCCTAGCTGCTGAGGCCGGCTGCAAGGTTGTGCCCCAGCTCCCCAAAATGGCGCAGGGCTCAGCAGAGGAGCCCGTTTTGGGGGGACGGGGGCCACTGGGGTCTCCGGCTCATGGCCACATCTCCCATTTACACCCCTGAGAACTGCAGCCGCTGCCCACTGAGGACAAAATCCTGCTAAAGCCGGATTTTTCCAAGCTCGAAAGGATCGTCTGCTCATTTGTCACCGAAACATACTGCTCGGCTTTACTGAGCTTATTGCTCTAATGGCATCAGCCCACGACGCAGGCGCCCGAGGGAGTGCGGGCAGGGCGGCTGCAGGGACATCTGTCCCGTCTCCCTCTGTGCACCCCGCCGTGGGCCAGCGTCTTTGTTTTTCTTCGTAATCAGAGGTAGGGTGAGAGTCCGCAACAGCAAGTGTTTAAGCTAAGGCTACTTAAATGTCTCTTCCTCCAGCTGCAATCATGGAGCAGCTGCCCTGCCAAGCACTGTCTCTCTCCCTACCCCCTCCATGGTGCGTGTCCTTACCGGCCAAAAATGAGACACACCCCCGCCTGCTTCCCATAGTCAGGTCCAGCTTTAGGGCTACAGTCGCTACCCAAACTGCTTGGAAGAAAACTCAGGGCACTCAAAAACAGTTGGACTCGATGACCTTAAAGGTCTTTTCCAACCAAAATGATTCTAAAAACTGAAAGAAAAGCCTTTATAGGAGCTTTCCAGCATAGGCTGAGCCTGGGCAGGAGGTTTCCTGCTCCTCACCTCTATCTCACACCGCCCACCCTGGTCAAACCCGTGGGGAGTGGCCAGTGCTCAGCCCAGCTCTGTCCTGGGAGAGCGCAGCCACCGTGCCACCGCCCAGGCTGGGAAAAGCAAGTCGGATCTGCTTTTTGGTGACATGCAGCCAATATAAAGTCAGCTTCCCAGCACAGAGACCTTGCCGTCGCACCGGCTTTGGTACTGGTGACGTTAAAAGCAAGCTGGTTGCGTGCGCACTGCTGAAAGAAAATGTCTTTGTGCTGGCGGAGGCACCCGGCTGCGCTGCTGGATCCCCAGGACGAAGGAAAGAGAAGCCGGCTGCCGGGAGAGCTCCCCGAGAGCTGCCCCTCTCCCTGCGGCACGCCGACTCCAGTGAACAACCCCCAGTGCTCTCAGTGGATCTCCTTTTGAAACAGGGGCCCTGATCTAGATGGACCCAGCTGCCCTCAGGAAAGAGGTATCTCCAATGGAGAGAGGGATTGAGATGTTGCTCCTTACTTGGTGACACCCCAAGGAATCTTTGTGCCATCCACGCCCACCCCTTCACCCCCTCGCATCCCATCAGGCTGCCCACGCGGAAGGCCCGTGCATCAGAGGTCGGTACCAGGCACGTCACGAGGGCTCGGGAGCAGACCGATGCCGGCTCTCACCCGTCGGTCGGTCATCCACGATGAATCCCTGGCCGCTGACACTCACCTAAGAGCAGGAACTTTCTACTGTCCCCGTAGAGCTGCTTCAAGTTGATGCAGAATTCGTGGATCGAAGCCCCGTTGCGATACTCGTGCAGGAGCATTGCGAACTGCTGGATCTCTTGGGAAGAGAGTTTCGTTCGGAGCTGCGGAAGAGAAGCACACCGCAAACATCACTGATTTTTTAGGAGGAAGAGGTGATGGGAAGCCTGGGAATGGCGTTGACCGGATTTATTGCTATTTGACAAGAGGTGCAGTAATGAACCCGACAGAAAAGCAGGACAGGCTGGCGCAACCCACTGCTGAGCTGGCAGCTTTCAAACGGGGATAAGCCGTGAGCGTATGCGAGGACCGTGACTCATGAAGTGAGGGACCTGGAGTGCTGTGGATGGCGTGACATGCTTTGATGCAGTGAGAGGGGACAAGGGGTTGGGGATGCTCCTGCAGGAGAAGGATGTGAGCCCACACAAGGTCCCGTGAAGCCTCCAAGCACAATTTGTATGAAAAGGAGGAGGATGGGATGTTCCTACAGCAGCATGGGCTCACGTTATAGAATCACAGAATCATTAAGGTTGGAAAAGACCTCTAAGATCATCGAGTCCAACTGTTAACCCAACACCACCATGCCCACTAAACCATGTCCCTAAGCGCCTCATCTACACGTCTTTTAAATACTTCCAGGGATGGTGACTCCACCACTTCCCTGGGCAGCCTGTTCCAAGGCCTGACCACTCTTTCAGTAAAGAAGTTTTTCCTAATGTCCAATCTAAGTTCTACACACCGAGGCAATGAACCCAAATCCCAAGAGCACTCGAGCACCCTAAGGGGAAGAAAACCCCTCCACCCTTCCCCAGGACCCTAGGGCACCCTACCGTCATCATATAGTCCTGGAGCAGCTCTGTCGCTGTGGTGCTCAGCTCGCTCTCGCTGACTGTCTTAATGTGTGGAGACTGTTGTGTGGAGAAGGAAGAGGGGGAGTTGTCACCTGCATCCAAGGTTTCTGGAAAGGAACTGAAATGCAAACAGATTGTGAGTCCTCCAGAACTCCTTGGGCACCTTCTGCATCGCCGCTGCTGGCAGCTGCGGCACGGGGGAGCCTGGAAGGGTGGAGAGGCACGTGGAGACACGCTCGCTCTGCAGTAAAGCTCGCAGCCTTCCGCTCCTGCGGGCGTCTGAAGGCTCTGCTCGGAGGACTTGAACTACATTGGTTTGGTGACCTGCTGAAAATGAAGCCCTGCATGAGCACAGACCCCCCTCCAACTGCTTTCTCATTTTGGAACAGTGCGGGGAAAAGTCTCAAACCACCGTATTTTGGCATTAAATGCGAAATTTTCAAATAGCATCAGTCAATTTTAAAAAACAACCGGTTTGTGTGTCAGGTTTTCAGCCCACAAACACTATCAACGTTGTTTTCAGCAGTCACCGATTCAGGAGGGAAAGTTTCCAAAATAAAGGGTTTTGGGGAAAAGACTTCTCCCAATTCCAGCTGGATTCACCAAGGCAAAGCAGCCGGGCGAGCGTTACATCCCTGCTTTGCTGACGCAGAGCACTGCACATACACTGTGTACGTGATCGTCTCTGGAAACCCACGGCGGCAGAACAATACGGTCACGGATGCTGCGGCGGCAGGGACCACGGCATTGCATGCGGACAGTAAAAACACCGTCCAATGTTTCAGCCAGACTGAGCAGAAGCTTTTCAATGTGCAGACCGCAGCGGTTTCTGCTCTGGGGGCTTTAAACCTGGCAGCGAGGCTGCACTAAAAAGCCCGAGTGCCGAGCGAGCTCGGTGTACCACATTTAACTTACAAAGTGCTTGCTTCCGTTTCATAAGATTCCTTAACATCCACTTTTGTAGAAGAGTCATCTGTAAGGAAAACATACGAGACATGGAGTTTAAGAGGCAGAAATGCGGTGCTTTTCCCGATTTCTGGCAGCTTTCGCTGCCGGAAGGCGAGATGCAGCGGGGCTGGGGCCGAGACGGTGCCGAGTGGTGCTGTGTCAGGACTGGAAACAGACTCAGCAGAGATGCAGAACCGCACAGGGATTGTTTTATTAAGTGCCTCTGTCCGACGTGAATAGGGAGGCAAAAGGTATGGGGAACAAGGACAGTGGCTGATGTCCCACAGCCCTGCTGGGGAAACATCTCCAGGCAGGAGACAGCCCTCATCCCCTTCCAATTCACACGCAATAAAGCAGAGGAGGGTTGTTTTTTTTTCCGGTACCCTGCAGGAGGGAAGCCACCAGCCTGGGCCAGGTGATGGACATTGGTGAAGACGGGGAGAGACCAGAAGGCCAACCGTATCCTGGGCTGCATCACCAGCAGCGTGGCCAGCAGGTCGAGGGAGGGGATTCTGCCCCTCTGCTCTGCTCTGGTGAGACCCCCCTGCAGTGCTGCGTCCAGCTCTGGGGTCCTCAGCATAGGACAGACATGGACCTGTTGGAGCAGGTCCAGAGGAGGCCACAAAAATGATCAGGGGGGTGGAACACCTCTGCTGTGAGGAAAGGCTGAGAGAGTTGGGGTTGTTCAGCC